CGAAACTAGAACTAGGTCAGTATACATGCGGCCTACATGTATAATAAAAATATAGATCTAGATAATATATAGTCGTACATGTAATATTGAACAGCAAGTCGAACTATAAGATCCGTCCCTATAGCCCCGATATAATATGAACGAGATGGTAGATAAAAAAAATAATATGTTGTGTCTCTTGCTACTCTGACGAAGGAAGACGACTGGGTCGGCCTCCCTACGCGTCGGCGCGTATCCCGGTAACAAAGGGTTAGCGCTCGGGACTTGTGCTATTTTTAGAGAATACCCATGCCATGCCCACAAGTGAAAGGAAGATTTCCTCAAGCAGGCTAATTATTTTGTTTTATACTGTTTCTAACAAATGTACACACTTCGGAGGTTCAAATGAAAGCGATTGTGTTTTCTGTTTTTACCTAGACTTTAATTTAAAAAGACCAGGCCCTCAATCGTATGCAGTTTCTGAGTTTCGCCTTGGGTTTTGTGTTCGGAAAAAAGCCATACCAGATTTATAATCCAAGGGAGGTGATTCAGGAATAGGAACCGAATGTACGTCTGTAATAGTTATCTCCCCTAAACCAGCCGTGCGACTCGTGAACGTAACGCGGTAATTTTAAAGTAATGATGGTATTAAAATTTTTAAAAATTCTTCGTACAAGCCCAACATTTCACACAGGTCGACCTGTATTATCACTTAGAAAACAAATACAAATTTATTGATTTTTTAAACGCAGAATTATTATCTAGCTTGGTTGAGCAAAAGCTAAAACTCGGGAGTAATTTTGGAATAACGAATAATACAATTTTAATACTTTTCGTTATTAACGACACTGCGTTCTTCAGATAAGATACATGTAGTAAGGTAAGATGGGATAAGATTAATCTTTATTGTCCAGATGCTGACACATTCGTTTGGTGTTTCGCCTCACACACATACACACACACACACACACACACACACACACACACACACACACACACACAAACACACATTCACGCAAGCACGCGCCCGAGCACAACCGTGCCCACACACTCTCACACATCCTCTCTTCCACGCACATCATCATCATTGGCTTTCTCACCCTGCACCAGGGTATAGGCCACGGACA